GATCCGGCCTGAGTTGGGGAGTGTGGATTTGGAAATTCCTAGCAACCCAATAGCAATAAAGACCAGACACAGACATCTTGTCATTTTTAGAGAGCTCTCAGTTCCATGCTGCAAAACTGGAGTCTCTCCTTGATTTAGCATCTTCCTGGCTGGTTTCTACCCATTCTTCCCTGACCCTGATACCTTTCCTTTTCCATCTCCCTTGGCACTCTCAGCAGATCCCTCTCCACATTCTCCACCCCTGTAAACCTTTCCACAGATACCTCCTCCCCTTCTGTCCTCACTCCTCTGTAGACCTAGGTCTCGGCCCTGGTGCAGGCCTATTCAAATGCTTAGTTCTGTAGAGACTCAAAACTAGGGGACATTCTCCACTGAGGCTATGCCATTCAACAGCAAATCAGCTAGTATCTGGGATATAATACAGACCGGAACTCTGGAGGTTTGGACACCAAGAAATTCTCTAATGGAATCAGTTCTCGACTCCCGACAGAGTCAGAGCAGAATTCTACCAGACTTTCAAAGGAGAATTAACAAATACTCCTCAAATTATTGTGGAAAATAGATAGAAACAGAAACAACATGTCCTGGTTCTTAATTTTTTTTATGAGGCCTACTATCCTGGTACCAAAACCAGATAAAGACACAACAAAAAAGAAATTTGTAGATCAATCTGCCTTATGAATACAGATGTAAAATTTTTCAATAAAATAGTTGCAAATTGAATCCAAGAAGATATGAAAAAGATTATTCACTTTAACAAGAATAAGTAAATGACCCAGAGACAGATATTGGGGTTCAACCTGAAGATCAGAGAAGTAAGCAGCCAAACTACCAGACAGCTGTTACCTCTAAAAAGGCTGGCATGTTCCTATTCTCAACATCACTGGAGAATGTATGCCTCTATCCTCAGTGTGGCTGGAGAATGAATGCCTAATACTGAGACCTTGTTCCTGTCTTTTATAACTCCCTAATGCTGGGATTAAAGGTGTGTGGTTCCGGGTGCTGAAATTATTTTTGTGTGAGCTGTTTCTCTTCAGGACTGAATCAATCTTGTGTAGATCTGGGTGGCCTTGGACCCACAGAGATCCGTCTACCTCTTAATCCTGAGTTGTGGGATTAAAGGTGTATACCACTACTTCCTTGCTTCTGGCTGCTGGGACTAAAGCTGACTTTGGTTTCTGAGTCTTCAGGCAAGCTTTAATAAATCATAAATAATATATCATTATAATCCCCCATGACTAAGTAGGCTTTATTCCAGAGTTGGAGGAATGGCTCAACATATATGAACTGATCTACCCTATACACAGACTGAAAAGCTAAAATCACATCATCATCTCATTTGAGGCAGAAAATCCTTTACAAAATCCAAGATCCCCTCATGATAAAAGTTCTGGGGAGACTAGGGACATAATGGGATACTTCAACATAATAAAGGCAATTTATAGCACATCCACAGCCAACATAAACCTAAATGGGGAGAAAGTCAAAGCATTTACACTAAAATCAGGAACAAGACAATGTTGTCCTGATGTGGAATAATGCTCTTGTACACTGTAAAGATTTGCCACTTTATTGGTTTAATAAAACACCGATTGCCCAATAGCCAGATAGGAAGTATAGGCGGAGCTACCAGACTAGGAGAATTCTGGGAAGAGAAAATGAAGGGACATAGTTGCCAGCCAGATGCAGAGGAAGAAGGATGAGAATGCCTTACTGAGAAAAGTTACCAAACCACGTGGCTAAACATAGATAAGAATTATGAGCTAATTTAAGTTGTTAGAGTTTGTTAATAATAAGCTGAAGCAATAGCCAAACAGTATATAAGCCTCTGTGCGTTTATTTGGGATTAAAGGGCTTCGGGACTTGGCAGGACAGAAACTTCCATCTACATTGTTCTCTCTCTCTCTCTCTCTCTCTCTCTCTCTCTCTCTCTCTCTCCATATCCCCATAGTTATTCAATAAAGTACTTCAAGTTTTATCTAAAGCAATAAGGCAACTGAAGGAGATTGTATTATCAGGGTTCTCCACAGTAACAGAACTTACAAAATGAATCTCTCTCTCTCTCTCTCTCTCTCTCTCTCTCTCTCTCTCTCTCTCTCATGTATGTATGTATGTATGTATGTATGTATGTATGTATATAAAGGGAGTTTTTTAGAACGGCTTACAGGTTGTGATACAGATAAACCAACAATGGCTGGCTATAAACAGGAAGTCCGAGAATCCAGTAGCTCTTTCCATAATGCTGGATGTCTCACCTGGCCTTCATTATATGCTAAAATCCCAAAGAAGTAGGCTCTAATGCCACTGAAAAAGTGGACTTGCTTGTGGTTGGTGGTTTTTAACCCTGTTGCTTTTTAGTATTCTGGGGGCCTGCCACACAGCTCCCAAATAAATCACACAGAGGCTTATTATTACTTATAATTGCTCTGCCTTAGCTTGGCTTATTTCTAGCCAGCTTTTCTTAAATTATCTCATCTACCTTTTGCCTTTGGGCTTTTATCTTTCTCTACTCTATATTCATTTCTTTACTTCTTACTACATGGCTGGCTATGTAGCTGGGTACTGTCCCCTGATATTCTCTTTTCACTCCTCTTTTTTTTCCCCAGATTTCTCCTCCCACTTATTCTCTCTGTCTGCCAGTCCTGCCTATCCTTTCTCCTGCTTAATATTGTCTGTTCAGCTCTTTGTTAGATCAATCAGGTATTCTAGACAGGCAAAGTAACACAGATTCACAGAGTTAAACAAATACAACATAAAAGAATGCAACATATCTTTGCATCATTAAAACAAATGTTCCACAGCATAAAAATAGTAACCATCTTAAAATAATATTCAACAACACTTGCTAGTAAGGCAAGAGCAAGCAGACAGAGTGAGAAAGCTTCCTTCTTCCATATCCTTTTAAAGGTTTCCCGCAGAAGGTGTGACCTAGATTATATTTGGATTAACTATATGGATTAAAGGTGTGTTATCCTACCTCAAGATCTGGATTAAAGGTGTGCCATCCTACCTCAAGGATCTACTTCTAATCACAATGAACCTCATTGGCTCCCCTTAGGGTCTGGCACCACTCATTGAAATGGTGGTGGCTCACTTAGGGAGGCAAAGTATAACTCATTCGTTTGATAGTGGCCTAATGCCATTGGCACTTTATGGGGGCCCATGTTAGAGGTGATTATTATTCACAGAAAATGTGGCTTGAGATTGCATTATCACATAGAGTATTGTTAACTAACTATGAAGGGGTCAGCTAAAAAGTTGCTGAATGTACAAGCAAAATTTAATTCAAAATAAGATAAATAATAAATTCATCAGTTGTCTCAGCTTCTATTGCTGTGGCAAAACACCTTGACCAAAAGTAACTTGTGGAGGAAAGGGTTTATTTCACTTACATTTCTAGGTGACAGTCTGACCTAGTTAGGTTTTCTATTGTTGCAATGAAAACCATTACCAAAAAGCAAGTTGGCCAAGACAGGGCTTATTGGGCTCACACTTGCACATCGTAGTCCATCACTGAAGGAAGCTAGGGCAGGAAGTCAAACATGAAAGGAACCTGGAGGCAAGAGCTGATGCAGAGGCCATGGAGGAGTGCTACTTACTGGCTCCCCCCCCCATGGCTTGTTCAGCCTACTTTCTTATAGAACCTGGGAATCACTAGCCCAGGGATGGCATCATCCACCATGGACTAGGCTGGCCTTGAACTCACAGAGATCCACCTGCTTCTGCCTCCGGAGTGCTGGGATTAAAGGTGTGTACCACCAACGCCTGGCTGAGGAGAAGTGTTTTGTATTTGCTGGATCATCTGAATCTGTAACTGGCCTGAGCCATGCAGATGGTCAGGTTCATCCCTGGGGGTTTTGCTGCCAAGAACCCTTTTGAGCCAGACTTCCTCAGGGTGTTGCAGAACAGTGGTTCTCAATTAGTAGAAGAGGGTCCTGGGGATCCCAAAGTCCCTTTTAGGGGATCTGCAAGCCCCTCTTACTCCATTTTTCTTAACCAAATATTTGTGAAAGTAAGATTTTTCTTACATCAATCAAAGGAACAAATAAAATCAGATTGAATAGAAACGGATGTGAGAATCCAGCTGTCTTCTAGTAAGAATGTAGTTTGCAAAATTATCTGACGTTCTCAACAATTGCTGATTATTTTAGAGCACAAGTTTCTTTTTTCTTTGTCTTTTTAAAAAAGACTATGTTATATTAACTTGTAATGGTTTTGTTAAACCGATTTAACCAAATTTAATTTCCCCTCAGTTTTTCTGGCAAGGTGGTACACACTTAACTATAGTCCTTTGTGAGACAGGGCTTTCATGAGTTGGAGACTAGCTTGGGTTACATAGTGAGACCCTGTCATTAAAAAGGCAACAATTTTAATTTCCTTCCTTCTTTCTTTCATCTTCCCTCTCTCCCTTTCTCCCTCCCTCCCTCCTTCCCTTCTGATGTTTCCCTGGCTATCCTGAACTCACTCTGTAGACCAGACTAGACTTGAACTCTCAGGGATCTGCTTGTTTCTGCCTCCCCAGTGCTGTGATTAAGGGTGTGTGCCACCACGCCTGTCTTTTTTCCTTCTTTTTTCAATTTTAATTTCTAATATGCTAATTATACATCGTATGACATATAATTCACAAAGACCTTATTTTTGTTTGTTGTTGTACTTTTGTTTCTTGAGACAGGGTTTCTCTGTGTAGCTCTGGCTGTTATAGAACTCACTTTGAAGGCCAAGCTGGCTTTGAACTCACAGAGATCCACCCACCTCTGCCTCCTGAGTACTGGGGTTAAAGGTGTGGGTCACCACTGGCTGATTATATTTAGGCAGCACAACTGGGAGAGGAAGCCCTTGATTCCCAAAGTGGGTGGAGCTTATGACTCATTGTTGGTGGAGCCTGTCTCAGGCAATATAAAAGGCCCAGGCTTCAGTGCCTAAACTTACTTCAACCAAGAGCTTGAGAAGCACAGATGGTCAGACCCCAACACTACCAGTTGCTTCCAGAAACTGAAAAGATGGTTGTTTTACCTGAAATGTGGGCCCTGTATGGCAGTTTAGAAGTGGAGGCAGTCTGTCCGATTTGCTTGGACTTTTACTCTAGACCTATTTATCTCTCCTGTGCACACGTATTCTGCTTTGACTGCGCTGAGAATTGGATGGCAAGAAAGGAAGATTTGATATTGACCTGTCCCATGTGTCGAGAAGAAAACAAGAGACCAGTTGTGCATGAATGGGTTATTAGAGAGCTGATCATTCTTATTAAGCAGCATGGCTCCCTCCTGAAGCAACAAATGGGGCAGATCACTGGACTCCTGAGGTTGTGTGCAGAGGCTGCGGCTCTGGAAGCTGACACTGGTGACTCCTCCTTGGTACTCTCTGATGATTTAAGGCATGTGTGCTGGGAGAAGCCTGGTCACAGTTTGGTGGAAGATCCCCCAAGATTCATCCCTTTAGCCAGTGTCCTGGACAGCTCCCACTTCTCTTCTGTCTGCCAAGAAGTTGATGCCAGGGAAGAGAAAGAGTGGACTCCAGATGTTTGTAAGGAGCCCGTGAGCAGGAGGAACGATGGTCATAATTTGGTAGAAGATCCCAGGAGATTCTCCACACTGGCCTGTGTCCTGGACAGCTCCCACATCTATTTGGTCTGCCAAGAAGTTGATGCCAAGGAAGAGAAAGAGTGGACTCCAACTGTTTGTAAGGAGCCTGTGAGCAGGAGGAACCTTGGTCATAACTTGGTAGAAGATCCCAGGAGATTCATCCCACTGGCCTGTGTCCTGGACAGCTCCCACATCTATTCGGTCTGCCAAGAAGTTGATGTTGGGGAAGAGAAAGAGTGGATTCCGACTGTTTGCAAGGAGCCAGTGAGCAGGAGGAACCATGGTCGTAACTTGGAAGATCCCAGGACACTCACCCCACAGGCCTGTATCCTGGACAGCTGCCATATCTGTTCAGTCTGGCATTGGGAAATTGATAGGTGGAAAGGGAAATGTAAAGAGTTCTCTCTGTATCTCCTTTGTGGACTCTTCGAGACCATGCCTTTGTTCTGAACAGCCTGTGGAAGGGTTGCCCCATTTTAACATCTTCCTTTAGGTAACTTGGCCATTGCTAGGTTGCACCATAGGAAGGATGGAAGGACTAAGGAAAAGACAATGTGCTATTGCACAAGACTTGGTAGAGTTTTGATAAACTCTAGAGACTCGAGATCACTCAGGATAATTAAGTCGTGGGCAAATAACTGTGTACTAAAAAAGGATAGTAAAGGTTTTATGGGTATAAAGTGTCTGTGTTTACTAGTTTTTATGTCAACTTGATACAAATTGGAGTCATCTGAGAGGAGGGAACATCAATTGAGACACTTCCATAAGATCAGGTTGTAGACAAGCCTGTAGGACATTTTACAAATTAGTGATTGATGAGAGGGCATCCAGCCCATTGTGGATGGGGTCACACATAGTCTGATGGTCTAGGGTTCTATAAAAGCATGCTGAATAAGCCATAAGAAGCAAGCCAGTAAGCAGCACTCCTCTATGCGCTCTCCTATTCCAAGTTCCCACCTTATCTATTTGACTTCCTGCATGATTTCCTTTGATGATCAGCTGTAATTAAAGTGTTAGTGTGATGTAAGTATTGCATTTTTTAAAATATTCATGGTTTTCTTTTTTAATTTAAATTAGAAAGAAGCTTCTTTTACATGTCAATCTCAGTTCCCTCTCAATTCCCTCCTCCCCTGGCCCCCACCGACCCCCCCCATTCCAACCCCTTTCTGCTCCCCAGGGAGAGTGAGGCCTTCTTGGAGGGATCTTCAAAGTCTGTCATATCATTTGGAGCAGGGACTAGACCCTACCCAGTGTGTCTAGGCTGAGAGAGTAACCCTCTATGAGGAGAGGGCTCCCAAAGTTTATTTGTGTACTAGGGGTAAATACTGATCCACTACCAGTGGCCCCATAGATTGTCAAGACCTCCAAACTGACTTCCTTCTTCAGGGGGTCTGGAACAGTCCTATGCTGGTTTCCCAGCTATCAGTCTGGGGTCTATGAGCAATCTACAGCCTGGTCTTGACCCCTTTGCTCATCACTCCTTCCTCTCTGCAACTGGATTCCAGAGTTCAGCTCAGTATTTAGCTGTAAGTGTCTGCATCTGTTTCCATCAGCTACTGGATGAAGGCTCTAGGATGGCATATAAAGTAGTCATCAATCTCATTATCAAAGAAGGGCATTTAAGGTAGCCTCTGGACTATTGCTTAGATTGTTAGTTGGGGTTGACCTTGCAGATCTCTGGCATTTCCCTAGTGCCAGATTCTCTTTAAAACTGCAATGGCTTCCTCTATGATGGTATCCCTTTCTTGCTCTCCATTGGAGGAGACTAGACTCCCCTGACCTGAACTTCCTGGTCCCTCCTGTCCTCCTCTCCCCTCCCCTTCTCTCCTTCTCTTTCTTCTAACTCTCCTCCCCCCATGAATCTCATTAGCTTAGGAGTGGAAGTACAGAAGCCAAAAAGCAAGGTTAGTAATTTAGAGACTTTCTTACAGCTATGCATTCTGATGCATTAGGCCTTTGTTTCAGTTCTGGCAGGACACCAAAAAGAGTGACTTCAGACCTTGCTGAGATAAGACATTCATTCAAAAATGTTGCTTCACAGAAAAGTCTGTCAGACATGCTAGGCCTATAGACCTAAGATGGAGGTCCCAACATTGCAGAGGAACCTTGAGTGACTGTCCTGGCAGCCAGCTGTTTTTCATTTCTCACATTTTTTTGAAGTCACTTGCTCACATTTCCTGTTTACTCAATTAATATTAATTCCTTCTCTGGTTTCTGAGGGATTTGAAGACTAGATAGCATAGTTATAATTTTCCTTGTTTACCAGACTCAGAAAGGAAACTCACTAAAGAAATGTAAAGTATATAAGGTTGAGAGACATAAAAAGATAATTTGATAATGCAAATTAGAATAGAAAGTAAATTAGGTACAAGACTTTGGACTCACAAAGATAGAATATATAAATGGAGTATTGTCTCTGAATTTGTCAAATGCAAGTGGACTAGACATTGTTGATGTACTTATTTCCTGTATATATTGTATATACTTATTGTATGCAGTTTTTCTTATGTTAGTTGTAGTCTTCTTTTTGTGTTAGACAAAAAGGAGAATTGTGGTGATATATTATTTATGATTTATTAAAACTTGCCTGAGGCTACAGAAAGCAAAGTTAGCCACAAGTTATAGAGCCAGGCAATGGTGATACACACCTTTAATCCCAGAAACCATACTAGCTAGACATAAAGCCAGGCGGTGGTGGCACACACCTTTAATTCCAGGACTCAAGAGACAAGCAGATGGATCTCTGTTAGTTCAAGGCCGTACTAAGCTCCAAGAAATTGATCTAATACTAAAGAGAAACAGCTCACACAAAGGGGATCTCAACATTTGGGATCACACACCTTCAATCCCAGCACTAGGGAGGTATAAAAGGAAAAAGCAAAGGGCATCATATGAAGGTTTATTCTCCAGCCACATTGAGGATAAGTAGCAGTCTAGGATCACAGTTTTAGGACTGTGGAGCTAGTTGGATCACCCTTTCAGTCTGAGGTATTGGTAAGAACTAGTGGCTTGGCTGCTTTGCTTATCTGACCCTCAGCTTAAAACCAGTATCTGTCTCTGGGTTTTATTAATTGTGTTACACATTTTTTGCATAACCTGTTCTTTTAAACCTATAATTAGAGAGAGGGACACAGAAAGGGGGGAAGGATAAGGGAAATAGGGTTGGCACATTGATCAGTGCATTAACAAATATTCTTAACTACTGTCCACATCCTCTGGCCCCATATGCTAAGTTACAAGATTTCCATGAACTCTGAGTCTGATAACCAGATGATATAGTAAAAGTACCTGTTTATTATAAGCAAGCTAATCCATATTCTCCTTAATCTTAGAGTTCTTTCTGCAAGAAAACAAAACAACAATAAACTCTTGCTTCTCAGGACAAAAACAATGGTGACATATTCTGCTTAGGCTGTGTGATGCTCATATTTGATTTTGGTGACCAGCTTGATCGAATTAAGATGTGCCCAGAGGAAAAGTATGGCAGACACCTGGGAATGTCAGGATGGATTTCTAGGGACACTTAGATCCTCATAGTTCTGACCTAATGCATGGATGCATTTCTCCATGGATTCATATGAGAGGTAGAGAAGTCAGAGGAAGTTGGTTACTGGAGGTGTGTACTTAGGTGTTGCATCTTGATCCAGCTCTTTCCTGTAGCTTTTTCTGCTTTCTAGTCACCAGGCTGTGGATTGATCCAAACCACCATACCCTTCCCTCCATGACTATCTGACAATTCTGAAACTCAGCTGAAATAAACCTTTCCTTGAGTTGTTTGTGACAGGTGTTTTAGTCACCAAGACGATAGCTGACCCATCCATCCAGCAGGTCCAGTTATTCCAGGGTCTGAAGAGGTACTGCCTGAAATCATGGGCAAGAGAAAGAAAGGAGACCAAGCAAGATTCTGTTGTCAAGGTCTCACTTTATTGAGGGAATAATAAAACTTATATAGGGATGTGGCAAGGAGGGAGTGTAGAGGGAGGGAGTAAGGAGGGAGAAGGGAGCAAGGCCACTGGCGGTGGGGCTCCTGGGATGGACCGCGGGCCGCATGGAGAAGGAACTGAGGAGGGAACAGGGAGTTAGTGCACCTGGTGTTATAAGCGGCTATCTAAAAAATGCCTGTTGCCTGAAAACCTCCTATGTCTTGTCCTCGGAGCTACTTACCTCTTCTAGGAATGGAACAGCTAGTGGCAGCAGTTGCCAGGTGGCAAGTCCTTCAAGGTCCTGTAGTTTTCCACTGCTCTGAATGGCCCCTTAACTTATGGCTCCCAACAGATAGCTATTTTATCAAGCAGGAAAGATCTCTGGATAAGTCATACATGTCTCTTAGGCTGGTGGGACACTGCTTTCCTTCCCTGTGTTCCTCAGAGATGGTAGCTTTTGTTTTGGCATGAAAGGATGTACATAAGTGTCAGGTGTGACTCCCTTAGCACTCTTCCTGAGTGATCCTAGGCCTTCTGTGTGCTCACTCTTGGATCTCTCCTTTCATACCTGCTGTCTGGAAATGCAGGCCCTGGACCACCATGAGGAGCTGATGAAGGCTAGGGAAAGCAGTCAACAGAAGAATGCAGGGATGACTGAGGGCTGCAACCTTAAGGAAGAAATAAAAGCCCCTCTTCTTTAATATGTTTGTTCATATATATATGTTTATATGCTATATATATGTATGTGCCTTACTTGTCTTTGACCTTATCCCTAAATTATGTCCTGGCTTACCAAATCCCCTGCAACATGGTGACTGATCCTTAGGTGTTCTCCATAGGGTTCACTTTCTCATGTAAAACTCACTTCCAGAGGCCCATAGAACAAACTGGTGCACCCGATTTGTGTTTGTAATTTGCCTTGTCTTCCTTGGCTCTGGTTCTTAGGATTTTGGTAGTTTTATTGTATGTTTTTCCCCATTATTTATCTAAAAATTTACTTACTTATTTGTTTATTTCTTTATTATTATTGGAAGTAGATTTGTCTCTCATACAGTACATCCCAACCATAGTCCCCCCCCTTCACTTCTCCAATCCCCTGGCCCATATTTTCCCTCTCCCAGATCCACTCCTCCTGTTTCTAATCCACAAAAGAGCAGGCCTCTGGGAGACAACAGCCAAACAGGACAAAATAAGATACAATATTGAGGCTGGACAAGGCAACCAAATAGGAAAAGAGTCCCAAGAGTAGGCAAAAAGTCCTGAGGGCAGAGTCCCAAAAGAATCAGAGATACACCCACTCTCACTGTTAGGAGTTCCACAAAAACACCAAACTAACAGCCATAACACATACACAGAGGGCCTGGTACATACCCACACAAGCCCTGTGCTTGATGCTTCAGTTTCTGTAAACCCATATGAACCCTGTTTAGTAGATTTGCTGGGGCATATTCTCCTGGTGTCCTCCAAGGCCTCTGACTCCTACAGTTTTTCTTCTTCCTTTCCTGTAGGGCTCTCTGATCTCCGAGG